GGGTGGTTACTCGGCATCCTGTTGGGCTTCCGGTGTGGTAGGTGTGAGCCAGAGAGAGGAGGGCATGAGAGTTCACAGTCACAGGACGTGGGACTTGGAGGTCATCTAGGCCGACTTCCTCACAGGGCAGACTAAGGCTCAGAAAGGGAAAGAGACTTACCTGAGGCCGTACAGCAGGTTAGAGGCAGGACTTAGGCCCTGATTCCCGCCTCCTCATCCAGCACTCTTTCTAGGTGACATGGAGGTATGGAGGTTTTGGAGCCAGACAGATGTGGATTGTAGTCCCAGCTCTGTCACTTAGTCCCAGCTGGGTGACCTTTAGTGAGTGACCATCTCTGAGCCTCGGTTTTCTCCTCTATGAAATGGGATGATGGTATCACCATTCTCACAGTGGTGTTGTGAAAAGTGGTTGATAATTTATGACAGGTTGTAAAGCTCATAGGACGGTGCACAGAGTTGACTCCTGGGAGGTGGGAGCTGTTATTACCTTTGTGGCTCTGTCATTTTTTTTTTTTTTTTTTTTGAGACAGAGTCTCGCTCTATTGCCCAGGTTGGAGTGCAGTGGCACAATCTTGGCTCACACAACCTCCACCTCCTGGGTTCAAGCAGTTCTTCTGCCTCAGCCTCCCAAGTAGTTGGGATTACAGGCAGGTGCCACCATGTCTGGCTAATTTTTTTATTTTTTAGTAGAGATGGGGTTTCACCGTGTTGGCCAGGCTGGTCTCAAACTCCTGACATCAAGTAATTTGCCTGCCTGGGCCTCCCAAAGAAGTTGGGATTACGGGCGTGAGCCACCGCGCCCGGCCTGTGGCTCTGTCATCCTAACCTCCTCAAGCACCAGAAAGAATGGCTGCGTGTTGGCCCTCACATATGCTGTTTTCTGATGAACGCAGTTAGGGATGGAAGATGAGAATGGGCCATGGTTGGCCCATCTCTCTGCTACTTGCTTTATTTCCCCATTATATTTGAGAGACTCCTTAGCCAGGCCACGAGTGACATACACACACACACACACACACACACACACGGCTCTGGTGGGCTAGAGCTGTGCTGTCTGCCTTCAGCCCAAATTGGGGTGGGGTAGGTGGAGGCACAGACAGGCACTAAGTGCAGGTCCCAGGTGAAAAACTGGGCAGCTCCCCACCTTCCGCATCAGATGCCTACCACGCACCACCAATACCTGTTTGTTCAGTGTGACCTAGTGGTTAAGACCAAGAGCCATGGGATCAACTTAAGCTTGAACCCTGGATCTGCAACTGAATTGTCGCAAAGGACTTTTAGCAGGCATTGTCTTCCTCTCTGAGCCTTGGATTTTCTGTCTGTGAAGTGAGGATATAACAGTCCCTCCCAGGACAATTGCAAATATTCAGTGAGAGGAGCAGCACTCAGAGCATGCATAGTGCGTATCTGGTGCTAGACTCCAAGAATTGGATGGCACTAACATTTTAACAGTGTTGACACACGTCCCGATTCTGTTTCTCTTTCCATAGCTGTTCTTAGAAACTTCACCATCCGCCCACCCCACCCCCATCCTGTGTTCCCACAGCCCCCTTCCCTCTGACTCCTTGCCTGACTGCCTTCTCTCAGGGTCACCTTGGACTGAAATCTTTCTCCCCCTCCCCTTCCCTCCCCTCCCCTCCCCTCCCCTCCCCTTCCCTCCCCTCCCTTCTCCTTCCCTCCCCTCCCTTCCCTCCCCTTCCCTCCCCTCCCCTCCCCTTCCCTTCCCTCTCTCCCCTGTCTCTCTCCCTGCCTCTTCCCCCCTCCCCCTGGACTAACACAGATCCAGAGTTCAAGCTCTGGCCCAGCCTGCCTGGGTTTGAATCCCAGCTCTGCCATTTACTGGAGCAGCCTCAGGCAAAGTACTTAATTCTTAGCCTCTATTTCTGCATAAGTAAAATGGAAATAAGGATAGTGCCGAGCTTAGAGAGTTGTTTAAATAAGCGACGAGATTCTTGTAAAGTGCCAGGATCAGTGCCTGCAATACAGTAAGTGCCTAATAAATGTCACCTGATTTATGACTAGACAGGGTTCTGCTGGAGCAGAGCCCCTGCCTTTTCATCTCTGCGTTCCCAGGGTCTGGCGGGGTTGGGATTGAAAGGGATGCGGGCTTTCTAGGGGTTTGCACTATGGCATTGGAGAGTTGCTTTCCCAGTGCAGCAGGCCTCTCCAGAAAGGGGAGGGGACTTGGACCACGTTGTAAGCTTGTCTGTCTGGCAGATATTTCCTACAACCCTGCTGGACACCACTGGGTGCTGAGGATGGGGTGGGGGAGGGTGCAGTAAGGCTGCCCTTAGTGAGCTCAAGTCCGTGGAGGAAAGTGGGACAAAATGGCCCTGATACTATCAGAGAATGATGAGCCCGGGGCTGTCACATTGTTTCTGAGGAGGCTCCTGGGACTGGTGATGTTTGATGTTTCCTTGTGGGAGTGACATAATAGTAACTTCTGGCTACATTAGGGCTTTATTCAGTAATCCTCCATTCTTTCCTATCTGCAGTGTTTACCGGTCTTAGCAGTAATAATAATAGATTTTCTTGAGTGTTTGCTATGTGCCAGGTATAGTGCTAAATATTTTATAAGTTTACTTAATCTTCACATCAACCCTGTGAGGTACTTATTATCGTTATTCCCGTTTTGTAGGTGGGAAAACTGAGGCACAGAGAGGTAATGTATCTCTCCTCTCACTCTCAGTCAGTAATTGGCAGAGCTAGAGTGGAACCTGGGCAGTTTTGGCTACAGAGTCCACGCATTTTTTTTTTTCTTTTTTTTTAGCGAAGTCTCATTCTGCCTGTCACCCAGGCTGGAATGCAATGGCACTGTTGCGCATGGCTCATTGCAACCTCAACCTCGCAGACTGAAGCGATCTTCCCACCTCAGCCTCTTGAGTAACTGAGACTACAAGTGTGCACCACCATACCCGGCTAAGTTTTTAATTTTTTTTTTTTTTTTTTTTTTTTTGAGACAAAGTCTTGCTCTGTTGCCAGGCTGGAGTGCAGTGGCGCTATCTCAACTCACCGCAATCTTCACCTCCTGGGTTCTAGCGATTCCTCTGCCTCAGCCTCCCGAGTAGCTGGGACTACAGGTGCTGCACCACCACGCTCAACTAATTTTTGGATTTTTACTAGAGATGGGGTTTCACCATGTTGGCCAGAATGGTCTCGATCTCCTGACTTCAGGCGATCCACCCACTTCGGCCTCCCAAAGTGCTGGGATTACAGGCGTGAGCCACCGTGCCTGGCCTAATTTTTTTGTAGAGACAGGGTCTCACTATGTTGCCTAGGCTGGTCTCAAACTTCGGGCTCAAGCAATCATCCTGCCTCTGACCCCCAAAGTTTGGGATAACAGGTGTGAACCCCCACGCCTGGCTGAATCCAACTTGTGCTTCCTTCATAACTGACTTTTACTCAACTGGTTGTAGCCCTTGTGACCGGCCAATCTTATGGACTCTGAGCGCCTCACCTTCCACGAGAGTCCTTTGCAGCCAGCAAAAGTGAAGAAATTAATCTTAGGCCTTCCTGTACAGCCTGCGTTCAGCATCAGCTCAGGGGTGAGGGGATAGGGACCTTCAAGGAAGGGGGTGTGGAAGTTTAAGGCCCAGAAAAGAAAGGACCTGAGTCAGGAGGAGGAAGAAGGATTAGCATAGGAAGCATTTAATGGAGAGAGAAAGGAAACTCAGAAGGCTGGAAAAGTTGGAATTCAAACTGAAGCAACATTTGCTGAGTACATTTTCGGTGCCAGGCATGGCAGCGTCTGTGCCTTCCAGGAGCTCCCAGGCCTGTGGGAGAGATAGACAAATCAGCAGGTAAATTGCCGAATAGTATTTGGTGAGGTTGGCCGGGGGTGGTAGCTCACACCTGTAATCCCAGAACTTTGGGAGGCCGCGGTGGGTGGATCACTTGAGGCCAGGAGTTCGAGACCAGTCTGGCCAACATGACAAAACTCCATCTCTACTAAAAATATGAAACAGTTAGCTGGGCATGGTGGCATGTGCCTGTGGTCCCAGCTACTCAGGAGGCTGAGAATCACTCGAACCCGGGAGGCAGAGGTTGCAGTGAGCGGATCATGCCACTGCACGCCAGCCTGGGCGACAGAGAGAGAGTCTGTCTCAAAAAAAAAAAAAAAAAAAAGTATTTGGTGAGTATATGGGCGGGAGCCTTTGAAGGCCCAGAGGAATAGATCACCAGCTTGACCCAGGGAGGTGATGTTTAAGTTGGGTCTTGAAGGATGAGTAGGAGTTTGCCAGCCAGGCAGAGCTAATAGTAGCAGAGCCAAAGTTTAAACCTGAACAGTCTGGCTCCAGAGTCTATGTTCTTGCCTGTGGCATGCTTGGCCCTGCTGCCCTCCAAGGCCTAGCCTCGGGAGATGAGACTTTCTGGGTCCTGAGTCACTCCACACGAGCCCTAGACAACCACCCAGCCATTTTCCCATCCAATTCCTGCGTTTGCTCTTCACAAACTCCCACTCTCTCCCACTTCTGCAAGGGTGGTTGGGAGTTGACTAGCCTTGTAGGCAGTCTCTGTCTCTCTAAGTGACTGGGATTTGTGGTGTCCTGAGAAGGGTACACAGATTCTACCCGCAGTTCTCCTGTGGCAGGTAGGAGGCACAGACAGACACAGAAGCATTTCCTGTTTTGTTTTTCCACTGTTTGCCCTGAGCACATGAACTGCTTTGCATAAAGCACCTCCTCAGATCATTGCAACAACCCTGGCAGGTAGAGGTAATTTACTGCCGTTTTAAGCATGAGAAAGGTGACTCACAGAGGTTGAGCCATGTGTCCAAGGTCACACAGCTAAGCCAGTAAATAGAGGGACTGGAATTTGCACCTCAATCTAACTGTGAGGCCTGTACTCGTGTTTTTAAGCCATCAGGAAGAATACCAGGTTATGAAGGCCACGCCCCTTTCTGATGAGTCTCACCTCTGTGCTGGTAATCAGGACACCTAGGAATTGCAAGTTAACGGTAGCAAGCATAAGGTTGCATTGATTTCAGTTCTTCTCAACAGGAATGTGCATGAGAATCACCAGGAATGTTGGTTACAAATACAAGATTCATTGCCTTCATCCTAGAGATTCTAACTCAGTAAGTATAGGGGAGAGGGTCCGGGAACCTACATTTCCAGCAGAATGCCTGATTCTGATGCTGGTGGACCATAGAATATGCTAGAAATCCTAATTTATTACATGTCTTCTCTGGGTCCAACGCTATCCTGGGCATTTTATTTGGTCACTTCAGCCATCAGAACATCGCCTGGTAGGGGGAGTGGATGCAAAGGGAGGTGGGAGTCTAGAGAGAGATTCATAGCAGTCACGATGAACAGCCAGCATGTCCATTCCACCTTTAGATCAATTGGATAAGGAAACTGAGGCTCGGAGAGGAGGCACCTTGCCCAAAGCTTGTGGTGGCAGAGCTGGGATTAGAAAGCAGACCCTTCAGCTGCCGAGACCTGTGTTCCTCCTGATACCCCACGTGGTTGCTTTTGCACACTCCCACACAGATACTCTTTTTTGTTTGTTTGTTTGAGATGGAATTTCACTCTTGTTGCCCAGGCTGGAGTGCAGTGGAGTGACCTCTGCTCACTGCAACCTCTGCCTCCCAGGTTCACGCCATTCTTCTGCCTCAGCCTCCTAAGTAGCTGGGATCACAGGCGCCCACCACCACGCCCGGCTAATTTTTTGTATTCTTAGTAGAGACAGGGTTTCACCATATTGGCCAGGCTGGTCTCGAACTCCTGACCTCAGGTGATCCACCCACCTCGGCCTCCCAAAGTGCTGGGATTACAGGCTTGAGCCACCGTACCTGGCCCACAGATTCTTGGGGGCATCTACCAAACACCACCATAGGTAAATGTGGGATAATCAGTGGTGGCAATATCTGCCATTTACTGAGCACCCATTGTGTGCCAAGCACAAGGTCTAGAATGGTCAGCAAGCAGGCATGGTCTTGGACAATTGCACAGATCTCTAATTATAAGCAGGTTGCTATGGGAGTTTATGTCAGAGGAGCCATTCCCGGCAGAGAGCAGGAGCAGGGAAGATGTCCCCGAGGAAGAAGGATTTGAGAAGAGATCTGAAAGATGTGTTAAGTGTTAACCGGGCAAAGAAATGGAGAGTAAAAGATTCTAGGCTGTGAGAACAGCATGTGCAAAGGCCCTGGGGTGAGTGATATATAGCAGCAATCCCCAATCTTTTTGGCACTGGACTTCATGGAAGACAATTTTTCCATGGACAGGGTAGGAAGGATGGTTTCCCTTATGAGAATCTAACTAAGCCTGATGATCTGAGGTACATGAAGCTTCCACTTCAGTTCATGTTTGTTAGATTCATCACCTTAGTTACATTCTCATAGATTCTCCTAGGAGTGCACAGCCTAGATCCCTCGCGTGTGCAGCTCACAATAGGGTTTGCACTCCTGTGAGAATCTAACGCTGCCGCTGATCTGACTGAAGGCGGAGCTCAGGCGGTCATGTTCACCCACAGCTCACCTCCTGCTGTGCGGCCCGGTTCCTAACAGGCCATGGACTGGTACTGGTCTGAGGCGTGGAGGGTTGGGGACCCCAGCTGTGTAGCTGGAGTAGAGAGGAAGGGTGAGGCTGAAGGGTGGTCAGGGCGGGTCCCGCAGGGCCGTGCAGACCAGGTGAGGCTTTACTTTCCTCTCCACCAAAGGATTCCATTTGTGCCCTCAAAGTAAGAAAAGGCAAAAATGTATAACGAGCAGGGTGGGGGTCTCCCGGCTCTCGAAGGGGTGTCAGCAGGGAGCTAAGAGGATCCGATTTGACTTGAGTGGGGACAGCAAGAGTGGCATCAGAAGGTGATGGTGGCTTTGCCCAGGCCGGTGGTAGTGGTGAGGGAGAGGCAGACAGAGAAACTGAGTAGAGTGGGCAGGGCCTGGTGATTGGTTGGAGTGGGGCAGGGGATCAGCCCATTGCTTTGACCAATGAGAACATAGAGCCCAGAAAGGTTGCATGAGCCACCAGAGTCACACAGTCCAAGCGTTAGAGCCAGACGCTAAGCTGGAACCTCCTGTCCCAGGGCCTTCCAGCCAAACTTGGACTCCGGGCCCCAGATTCCTGGCAGCTGCTCTGGCAGAGTCCCTCTTCCCAGACTCCTGGTGGCTGCGTCCCTCCCCATGCCCCCACTCCCTGCAGAGTCTGGCAGCTTCAAGGGAATGGGGTGCTTTGAAGCGTCTACAGGGAGGGCAGTGCTGTGACCTCCAAATTCTTTCCGTGTGACCTATGCGACCCCAGCGAGACCAGGGCCCCTCAGGACCCTGCCCTCCCCAGGCTTTGATGGAGTCCACAGAGGTGGGGTTTGGGACCAGAGCCACTGTGCAGGCACAGCCCCTTGCTGGGGAGCGGGGGTGTTTCCAGGGACCCGAGCTGATGCTCCTGCCATGAAGAGAAAGGAGATGCAGGGGCCAAAGCCTGGGGAGACCCTCTCTGTGCCCGGTGGGGTCCCCCCAGCAGTGGGGAGCTGCTCCCCCATCCAGGCTCCGTAACTGCAGGCCGTTGGCTGCTATCTTAGGATTTCTGTTTTCTTCCCCATTGTCACCCCAGTTGGCACCTAAGACCTCTGAGATGCTGCTCAGTTAAAGGGATTCTCAGCTCTGCAGGCCTCGCTCCACCTCCCTGCCCTGCTCCAAACCATCCCCCTCCTGAAACCTGAAATAGTCATAACCCCCCTATTATGAACCTCATCTCCCCGTACCTGAGCCCCTATTTTCCTTAAGATTTGGATCTCTCTATTTGGGGTTCAGGCCCCCCTTTTTTCTCACTAGGTTCTAAGACCTGCTCCCTGCTTAGGCACCTTCTTCTCCCTGGACCCCTTCTTTACCCCTAGACCCTGGACCTGGGTCTGATCCCTCTCTGGAGACTGGAGGCTCTGCTGTGTTAGAGACCAGTACCCCTGACACACACATCCCATGGTCTCCCAGGTTTCTCTAACCCCCAGGGGCTTCACCCTTCTCAGCTTGACACACAGTAGGCACTCAAGAGACAAGCTTGATCCTGCCATCCCTTCTCCCAGCCCTCCCCGTTTGTGGCCCCTCCTGTACCTCCCTACCCTCCCCCGCGTGGGTATTTTTGCTCAAGGAGCTCGTGCTGTGTGGCAGCTGAGCCTGGGAAGCAGCTATTGTTGGCTGAGAACGTGGGGCGGCAGAAGGATGGGGGCTGAGAGGAGGCAGGAAACATACTTATAGGTCCAGGCCCAGCCCCCTGGTCCCCACACCCCACTGGGTCCAGGTGAGGCCATTTTAGGACAAGTCAAAGAAAGCCCCCTTCCCACAGCCGGGAGCTCCGTTGTGAAAATCACTGCACTAGGGGAAGCTGGCAGCAAGTTTGGAAACGAGGTGGCTGGTGAAAGTGCCACCGGCAGTTTCAGAGAGCAGCCGGGGCACCCCTTGAGCCTCTGGGTGGCATCGGGACGGTAGGCAGGACCCCTTGTATGGTGATGCTCTGCTGCCTCTCGTCCTGGTTGCTTCTCGTACCTGTTTCATGTCTGCTCTGTGGCGCAGGAGGTGGGAACCACAGTTTATTGAGCATTAACTTTGAGCTAAGCCGTGTGCTGGGCAATGAATGCATTGACTCAATTCATACCTCAGTCAACTCCAGGGAAGTGGGTCCTATTGTGTCCCCATTTAACAGATGAGGAGACTGAGGCTTGGTGAGGTAGGTGAGGTGACTCGGTCAAGGCCACACAACTCCTGAGTCTGTTTTTGCAGGCTTCTGTAGAGCATCTGACTTCAAGGCTGAGGGTGTTTTGCTTGTGGCCGAAAAAGACTGGGCACAGTGAGGAGGGAGGAGGGCCAGGCACAGCGAGGAGAGGGGAGGCTAGTAAAAGAGGATGAGAAGCCTGCAGGGGAGCAGGCAGTGCCTTTTCTGGGGTGGTGACAGGCAGTTGGAAGCAAATTTCGATCTGGATGAGGAACTGGCACTCTTCTGTCCTCTGGTCCCTCTTGCCCTTTAATTGTGACATTACTTCTCACCGCTGAAGGGGAACCCCTTGAGGGCAGAGACTGTGGCTTGTCCTGGCACCTGCCTTGAGCAGAAGCTCAGAGAAAGATGCATGGAGGGAAAGAATGGGGAGCAGAAACAAGCCATCAGGTGCCAGGTTGGTGGTCCTGGAGCCAGTTTATGGCTCATCTGGTCACGAGGGCCACATCTCTCAGTGTTTAGTGTCAGCTATTGAAGAAATCGAATCCAGTACACAAAATTGGATTTTGCAGTTTTGCAACCAGTTTCAACCCCCCTCTATTGTGTAATGTGTTTCTTTAGATAAGGAAACCCAGAACAAAACATGTATGCTTTTCTCCTGGCGACCTCTGATAACTCTATTGAAGACATGGCTTAACGAGAACTGTTTTTCTCCTTTCGTGATTTGTGACTTTTCTTGCAGTCTCCAGGTGGCGGTGAGTCAGCCATAAAACTCGTTCAGGAAAGTCCAGAGGAATTTTTTTTCTGCATCAGGTTCAACTTGAGCAGTGCTGGGTGACACCCAATGACACACTTGGTTGGGGAAGGAGAGGCTGGCACACTCCTAGCTGCTTATCTGTGCCACCTCCGCCTCCATTTGTCCCTGGCTTCCTGGGGCCCAGAGCCATCTCCGCCGGAGCAGGGAGGCCAATTAAGTGACCCGCGGGCTCCTTCTGCCTGACTCAGCTCAGCTCCAGCCCTCTCTGGGGAGAATGAGTCATTTTTTCAACCCTGAAATATTTATCTTCATGTGGGAAATGGGTGGGGGTGGGGAGAGCCCCTCCTGGTCCTCTCCAAACTTGTTCCTCAGCTCTGAGGGGCACTCCAGCTGCAGGCAAAGGGATTCTAGGGCAACTCTGGAGAGGGCAGTCAGATCTGAAGTCAGTAAACCACAGCTGTGGCAGCCATTGGAGTCACCCTGGACAGAAGCACACTGGGCTGAGTGGGTGGAGTGTCCCTGTCAGTCCCCCACTGATGCATGGTTTCTCCTTGGGGATGGGCCTCTGCCCCCTGCTTCCTCTGCCCATCCAGTTAAGAAGCTATATGAGCCTGGGTGTGGCGGTGCACATCTGTAGTCCCAGCTACTTGGGAGGCTGAGGCAAGAGGATCGCTT